AATATATTTGAAGTGATGTGGAGACATTTGGCGGGACCCGTGGAACACTATCACATGGAAACCACATGCCGCACATGGGCTTCACATGGACAATGTCCCCTTTGGTCTCCATCAATTATTCTCTCCCCCCCTTTAAATGCAAGCTACGAAGAGGAAGGAGGGGAGGCCAGATTCCTACAACTCCATACTACTATATTCTTCATTCTTTTTTTCCTTTATGCTTGGAGCTCCATTAATGGCTCCAAGCTCCTACAATGATGTATATGTAAATTCTCCCGAGATTAATAAAAGTTCCCCCCCTTTGGCATGGCACCGCCTAAAAAGGCCCGTGGTTTTCTCCCGACTTGGTTTCCACGTATAAATACTTTCTCTCCGCTTTATTTATTAATTTAATTTCCGGATTTTGCTATTCGGTGCGGTGCTGACCCGGTACCAATTTCTTCGGGTCGGTGCCCCGAAAAAGCGGTTTCCATCACTGGCGCCGACCGTGGGACCCGTCACAAAAATCTTTTGTGCTCCGAGTCCGTAATAGAGAAAAAAAAGTGGGTGAGAAAGTAAAAAAAAGACAAAACAAAAAAGAGGGATAGAGAGAGAGGTTGAAGGGAAAAAGGCAGAGGAGAAAAAATAAACAAACTCCCTACTCTTCTGCATCATGTTGATTGACCGCCCAGATCTGGAGAAGCCATTTTGAGACATTGGACAACGGTGGGTCCTTTTCAGCGTGCCTTCCAGTGCGGCTCACTTCCGGCGAGAAGCAAGGAGCACCGCCTTACCTTGGGCGACCATGGAGAGCAGCCACCAGCCCTCGGTAGAGCCACCTTCTCGACGAACAGCAACGGCGGGCCTCCGGCGAGCTCCCACTTATTCAGGCGAGCCACGGACAGCGGCGACAGCCCTCCGACGAGCTCCCACTTCTTCCGGCGAGCCACGGACAGCGGCGACAGCCATCCGACGAGCTCCCACGTCTTCCGGCGAGCCACGGACAGCGGCGGCAGCCCTCCGACAAGCTACCACTTCCTCCGGCGAGCCACAGACAGCAGCGACAGCCCTCCGACGAGCTCCCACTTCTTCCGGTGAGCCACGGACAACGGCGGCGGCCCTCCGACGAGCTCCCCACTTATTCTGGCGAGCCACGGACGGCAGCTGCGGGTCTCCGAAGAACTCCTCCTTCCTCAGGGGAGCCACAGATGGCATAGACAAGCCTCTTGTGAGCCTCTCTTCCTTGAGGCGAGCCGATCCAGCACTCTAGCGAGCCACTCCGGGTCCTCTCCAGCGAGCCACTCTCTCCGTCGGTCCACAACCAGGTCCAACGAGCCATACTACTAGCAATTGTCCAATCCGGCGAACCTTGGCCCGGAAGAAGCAAGCTCCCACTCCCTCCGGCGAGCCACAGACAGCAGCGGCGGCCCTCCGACGAGCTCCCACTCTTCCGGCGAGTCGCGGATGGCAGCGGCCGCAATTGCTCTAGTTCGTCCATCAAGCTCCCCCTGCTCCGGCGAGCCTCATCTAACAAGCGGGCCTTCATCTTCGACTAGATCCAGCGAGCTCCAACTTCCTCCGCCGAACCACGGACGGAAGTGGCGGGCCCCTCTGCGTGGTCCTCTCCGGCAGCCCTCTTCGGCGGTCCTCTCTGCGGTCCTCTCCGGTGGTTCTCTCCGTGGCCCTGTTCGGCGGTCCTCTCCGGTGGTCCTCCCTGCGGTCCTCTCTAATGGTCCTCTTCAGCAAGCTAGGGACGCATCTTGAGCACTCAAGCTTTAAAGGTCCCAAAAACAGATGTATCTAGCCTTAAATGGACCGTTCCAACTTCAAGGACCCATCCAATGGACAGGTTTTGCCTCAAGTGGACCGCTCCATCCTCATATGTCCTTCCCATGGATGGATTTGGCCTCCAGTGGACCGCTCCATCTTCATAGGTCCTTCACATGGACAGATTTGGCCTCCAGTGGACTGCTCCATCTTCATAGGTCCTTCACATAGACGGATTTGGCCTCCAGTGGACCGCTCCATCTTCATGAGTCCCTCAGATGGACGGATTTGACCTCCAGTGGACTGCTCCAACTTCATGGGTCCCTCAAATGGACAGATTTTGCCTCAAGTGGACCGCTCCATC